AAACACAATGTGGTGTGTGTGAACTCTGACTCCCAGTCAACCTCACACTAGGGTCTCTCTTTACACAAAATACTTCTGATACCAAAAGCGTGTGGGGGTCTTCAATAGTCCCGCATCAACAACCAATTCTCCAACTCTCTAGACACCAGCTGGGTGTGCCACTGTTTGATTCCATTTAGACGCTCGCTATATTTTAGGCAAGCTCTTAAAAGCCACTTTTGCAAGAAGCCTTGATTCCTCACTTGAACCACAAGGTAATTAAAGAAGGATGAAGGCTGCCCATCTCTGCCTTCGCTTTGTGTCTGCACTTCAGCAGAAGGCTAAGAAATAAGTGGTTGTCCTTAGTCTTCTCTTGAGTCACTTTGAATCACAGCAGGAACAAACTCTCCAGAGCAAGAGCACGCTTGCGCACACACACACACACACACACACACACACACACACACACACACACACACCTCGCATCTGTGTAGGAGGAGTTAAGCCCAGTCTCTCTCCTCTACTGTAATGGGATTGACCTCTATTGCAATAGTCTTCAATAAATGCTTCCAGGATGTATGTTCCTTTGAGACAGCGTCTGACTATGTAGCCCTAGCTGGTCTTGAACTAACAGAGATGCACCAGCCTTTACCATTATGTTGCTGAGACCACTAGGCCTAGCTTCCCCTCCTGTTTTAGCAAGCATGTACTCATTGAACTGGATATAGTAAGTAGCACATGCCTTTAGTCCCAGCACTCAAGAGGCAAAGCTGGTTGCACTCAGAATTCAAAGTCAGCCTGGTCTACAGAATGAGAACCCTATCTTTAAAATACCCCTCATTTGGATACTGTTGTGGTTTGAGTAGAAATGGCCCCCACAGACTCATATGTTTGAATGCTAGGCCCATAGGGAGTGGCACTATTAGGAGGTGTGGCTTTGTTGGAGTACACGTGGCCTTATTGGAGGAAGTGTGTCACTATGGAGGCAGGCTTTGAAGTCTCATATGCTCAAGCTACCCCCCCCCACACACACAGTTCACTTCCTGTGGCCTGCAGATGAAGAGTTGGACTCTCAGAGGAGCCGTTGGTATTTACCAACTATTTACATGTCTACATGTACACTGCCATGCTTCCTACCACAATAATGATCTAAACCTCTGTCACTGTAAGACAGCCCTTAAATGTTTTCCTTCCTTTATAAGACTTGTCGTAGTCAGGGTTTTTCTTCACAGCATTAAAACCCTAACTGAGACAGATATATTGTATATAAATTATACCTCTCAAAGGAAGTTGTATACCTAAAGGTGAATCAGCAAAACAAAATTGGTCAAATATTAATCATTAATATTGGTTAACATGCACACAGATAATTATGACTCAACTTTGCCTCCATTTATTTGTATCTAAAAATTATCCTCATAAAGTTTTTTTTAATAATTTATTTTTTACTTTGTGTACATTGGTGTTTTGCCTGCATATTAGTCTTTGTGAGGATGCCAGATCCCTTGGAACTGGAGTTACAGACAGTTGTGAGCTGCCATGTGGGTGCTGTGAATTGAACTTGGGTTCTTTGTAAGAGCAATCTCTCCTGTTCTACCCTAATAAAGTTTTCTAAATCCAAAATTATTATTCAATTCCCTCAATATCTCCCTTAGGAAGACCCTTTGGGAACTAAAAATTAGGGAAAGGGTCCCTTGGTATTTTTAACATTTTTTATTGAATCTTTGGAAATTTCACATCATGTACCCTAATTCCACTCACCTCCCAGCCCCCCACATCCTCCCCTCACCCCTGCAGTGCTCTCCCCCAAAAGAAAATTTTAAAAAGTCAAACCAAAACAAAACAGAGCAAGCAAACAAATAAAAATCAAGAATAAAATAAACCTCTTTGCTTCGCCATTTTTCCTGCCTCTCCAACACCTCTTCATTCATCCTGGTGACATTGGGAGCAGTGTGTCACACGGCATACCCTTTTGTCCAATCAGCTTTACTGGCAAATGTTCACTACAATGAGTCACTGGTCTGGTCAAGGCCTCTGGTTTCCGGCATCACTGGGTCCTCATGGGAACTCCCCTGGGATAGCCAGCGGCTGCCCTGAGTCTTGGAGATGCTGTGGGTATTGTTCCACGGGACCAGTCACTTCACAAGCTCCAGCATGTCCTAGACGGCGGTGGATGATAGAGTGGGCCAACCCAAGGCCCGGCTGTGGGCCTGGGTGGCAACTGAGTCATCGGGGCCACCCACCTTAGGCCATGGGGCAGAGCCAGCTACCCTAAGCCCATGCCATCAGGATCAGTTCTCCCTCACCTGTGGGGAGGGGGTGGGAGGAGCCGTTGGTATTTACCAACTATTTACAAACAGCATTGCTGGAGATGCTTCTGGAGAAATGTATCCTTTTGCTTGTAAGAGAATACTTCCACTAACCTACATGGACGGCATTTCATGCATCAGCTACACGGCAGCACTGTCCCTCCAAGGTAGAAGCTGTGCAGGATTGGCACTGCACTGGATTCCTCGGCAACTGTCAACGCATGGCATGGATGTACATCAGTCTACACGTGGAAAAGGCACAGTAAGAATGCCAGGGGAGGGTCTGGGAATGCCACTCCATTGGTAGCATGCTGGTATAGCATACATGAAGTCCTGGGATTGATGGCCAACACCACACAAACCAAGTATGGTGTTGCACATGGGCATAGATAGCCCCAGTGCTGGGAGGAGATGTAGAAGGATCAGAAGTTCAAAGCCATCTTCAGCCACAGGGGGTTTGAGGCCAGCCTGGGCCTTGTGGTACACTGTCTCAAGTTTATAAAACATGGAAATACTAGCCAGGTGTAATAGCACACCACACACCTTTAATCCCAGAACTCAGGAGGCAGAGGCAGGCAGATCTCTGAGTTTGAGGCCAGCCTGGTTTACACAGTGAGTTCTAGGACAGCCAGGGCTACATAGTGAGACCTTGTTTAGGAGGGAGGGAGGGAGGGAGGGAGGGAGGGAGGGAGGGAGGGAGGGAGGGAGGGAGGGAGGGAGGGAGAGAGGGAGGGAGGGAGGGAGGGAGGATCGCTCAGTCAGGCATGGTGGTAAATGCCTTAATCTCAGCACTAGGAAGCAGAAGCAGATAGATCTCTATTAGTTTGAGGCCAACCTAGTCTACATAGAGAGTTCTAAGCCAGCCGGGGCTGCATAGTGAGATTGTCTCAAAATAATTAGTAATTAATTAATTGAGATAATCTTTTTAAGAAGAATACTAAGTGGTAGGAAATTTATGGTTCATCACTGATGGAAACATGTTATCCGTGACTATGTATTTGGTAACTTCTAACAGCACCCTCGTGAGAAATCAGGCCAGCCCTAACCACTTTCACACAGGGACCATGAGGAGGTACAGAATTTGCTCAGAATCACACAGGCTGGGCAGTTGGGCCAGGACCTGAGCCCAGGCTCCTCACCTGCCACCAGCCATCATGATTCTAGGACAATGCAAACACCCTCCCCAACAGTGGGACTTCTGTGAGCCACTTCTCATGAAGTTCACACACACACACACTTCCTGAGAGAAAATTCTAACTCAGTGATTAGCAGCCCTGATTGGCATTAATTGCCCATTGGTTACCATGGTTATGTCTAACTTTGTTCCCCTTTGAGGCCTAAACAGAACAAACCCCAGCTATTCACCTGCTGGCTCAGCGGGAGGAAAACAGCCCCGCAGACACCTTCCCTGAGCTGCTGTTTGTAGAACTGTCCAATGTCTACATTTCTGAGAGGGTAATTGTTGAAGGGAGGGGTCAGCAGCAGGCTACTTCACTCTCCAATGAGGGAGTGGACGCCCATAAAGCTGGACATGCTTCCTTATGTTGAATGCTATTGTCTCAAATGTCTTCACAGAACTTAATTTAAACAGGGTTTTAATTTCTGTTCAAAGCAGGTTGGCTGAGCCTGGTGGTGCACACCTCTAGTCCCAGCTCCTCGGGAGGGAGGCTGAGGCAGGAGGATGGAGAGTTCCAGGTCAGCCTGGACTACATAGTTTCAGGCCATCTCTCAAACAAACAAACAAAAACAAAACAACAACAACAAAAAAAACCCAGAACACTGACCATCACTTAACTCATCTGAGGTTTCCTTCTGTCTTGGTCATCCAGAGCACAGAGCCTTCCCCAAGACTGCCATGAAGTCACCCTCAGATGCAGATCCTCACACTTCCCTTGGATTCAAAAGCCCCGAGTTTAGACCCCAGGGCTAGTGTCTGACCTTGTGCCAAATCGGTGAGTCTCCTGGTATTTCAGCTTGTGCGTAGGGAAAGGTAAGCTGCACTGAGAAACAGTACTGAGTGCAATGGGTGCATGCAAGTGTGTGTGCACTGTATGTGTTCACTGTTGTCATTGTGTGTTTGCGCATGTGTGTGTGCATGTGTGTATTCGCATGTATGTGTTTGTGCGTATGTGTGCACACGCGTGTGCATGCTATGTTCACCAGAACGGCTTCAGAGAAAGAGCTCAAATAGAGCCCCTCTGACTTGTTTGCACCTCAGAAAATGAACTTGAGTTAAATCTACCACGGGTGGGGAGGACTCAGAGGTAGAGGAGGGCAGGCACTGTCAACAGACAGCCCTCTGAGGTTCAGTGGGTGTCCCAGTGGGCCTCAAAGGGGAACAAAGTTAGACAGTGGGTGACACTTTGTATGAAAGATGGTGACACTGTGCTAGGTTCCTTTGGTCTCAGCCTGTCCACCCAGGTTGACTCTGATAATGGGAGGTGACTGCGAAGCCCTCAAACCTATGACCACAATGTGTGCCTGCCACCAGCTACCTGGAAATGGAAGAGAGGGGGTAATTTCACTTAATCTCCCAAGTAAGAGGTGACCAGCCGACTCACACAGGCGTTCTTGAATACCGTGTTCCTGTGTAATTTGGTGCCACATCCAGAATGCTTATCCTGTTGTCAACACACTGTTGCTAGGAGACAGCCAATGAGCAAACACCCCGACATTCTGTTATTGTTTCAGCATCTTGTAGACCATCCGCGTCTTGGTGGCTTTATTATACCAGAGGTCCCCAGGTGCCAGCTAATGGTCACTATTTCCTTCAACTAGAAGTTCCTGGTTTATACTGACCACAGGATCCCCCATCCCCCACCACTACCCCCATTTCTTCCTTCTTTCTGAGATCATCCTCTCGGCCTGTTTCCCAAACTCAGGGCTGAGCCCCAGCACCCACCATGCCCAAAGCCAGCACGGGGTGAGGCCTCAGACTAAGTATTGAAGCACAGGGACAGCACCGGACCTCCTCATGCCCCACACCCAAGGCCCCTGGCTTGTCCCAGCCTACTTCAAGCCCTGCCCTCCACCTAACCACCTGTCCTAGGCTACCCCGCAGAGTTCAAGGCTGTGCCCACACACACACACACACCCCTACAGGGCTTTACTGGCTTGTGTCTCCAGGCCACCTGCTCCCCAGTAGTCAGCCCCATGAGCCCCAACTTTTGGATGTCTCCACCCCGTCACCTCTTCAGTCCTACCCACCTGCAGCCCGCTCTCCCAAGCTCCCTCACCCCTGATGTATTTCTCTGCACTTTGTCCAACGTCCCCTCAACACTAGTGGCCTCTTCCGTCATCAGCCGGATATCCCTGGGACATGACAAAGTACGCAGAATGAACTCCCTGACTGTGGAAAGTGAGTTGACAATATTTACTGAAACCCTAGGTGAGTCAAACATGGCGGCACACCATCGATGTAATCCCAGCAGCATCTGGAAGTGGGAGGTAGGAGGATCAGGAGTTCAAGGCCATCCTCAACTATATAGCAAGGTTGAGGTCAGCCTGGGCTATGTGCGACCCTGTCTCAAAGCAAATCATAAATGTAGAGGCCAAACCATCTCAGGGGGTCCGTTCTATGCTGGCATCCCTATGCTAATAAGTATCAGCTGTGGCAATGTTACCTTAGGGAGAGACTAAAAACAACCTCAATAACAGGTGTGACTGTACACATCTTTAATCCCAGCACTTGGGAGGTAGAAGCAGGCAGAGTTTTGTGAGTTCAAGGCCATCCTGGTCTACAAAGTGAGTTCTAGGACATCCAGGGCCACACAGAGAAACTTTGTCTCAAAAAACAAAAAACAAACAAAAAAACTCAGTGACTATAGGTAAAGGAGATGATGCAATATGTTGGATTATGGAGCATATTCTGAACAATAAAAAGATTGAGGCCGATCTGGAGCTTACCAGTATAGATGACTTACAGGGCCCACAAATAAAGATCAAGGTACAGAGAAGGGGAGAGACAAATAATCAGAGAGGAGATATTTGTGAGCTCTTGTGTTCAGGCTGTCTCTGGATTAAAACTGGTGACAGTGATTGCCTCTAAGAAGGTGGTCCTGGCTTCCTCCAGCAGAAGGGAGAACTGGCTGGCCTGTGTGTGCTTTTGTACCAACTCAGTTCTCTGTATGGAGCATGCATTACCTTTCCATGTAAAAACGCATTTGAGGGGCTCGTCTTAGTCAGGGTTTCTATTGCTGTGATGAGAAACCATGACGGAAAAGAGAGGTTGGGATGAAGGGGCTCACACTTCCACATCACTGTTCATCATCAAAGGAAGTCAGGACCAGAGCCCAAGCAGGGCGGGAACCTACAGGCAGGAGCTGATGCAGAGGCCATGGAGGGTGCTGCTTACTGGCTTGCTCCCCATGGCTTGCTCAGCCTGCTTTCTTACAGAACCCAGGACCAGCAGCCCAGGGATGGCTCCACCCACCATGGGCTGGGCCCTCCCCCGTCAATCACTAAGACAATGCCCCACAGGCTTGCCTACAGCCTGAGCTTATGAAGGGTTTTCTTGAGGTTCCCTCCTCTCAGATGAGCTTTGCTTGTGTCAAGTTGACATCAAACTGCCCAGCACAGGGCTGGGGGGAAAAAAAAGCCTAGCAGGTAAAAGCATTCCCCTCCAACCCCATGACCGGAGTTAGGTCCCTAGCATGCACATGCAGGAAAGAGGAGATGACTTTGGCAAGTTGTCTTCTGGCTTCCACACGTGTGCCCCATGGAGCACGCGTGTGCAAGCACGGGCTCACACACAGATGAGTGGGAGAGAAAATAAACAAATGTAAATGTACTGTTCACTCCTCTGTCTTGATGATGCAAACAGCAACATTGCCAGGAAGCGAATTCCCTCACGTGGCTCCTCTGCTCGACCTCCCCAGGGGCTCTACATAGGATGTCTCGGGAGGGTCACAGTTTATGTGGCTGCCAGAACAATTAATACCTGTTAATTATTTTCAGCACCTTTTTACTTCCAACAGTACCCTGGTGAGGACGACAAATTACGTACAGCCAGCGTGTCTCCCACAGAGGAGTCACACACCCATCTCTTCTCCCGCGCTTGCTTGCAATGGAAGGAAGCGATGAGCACTGAGTTAGGCCCAGCCTGGAGCTCAGGGCCCAGGCTTCAGATCCAGGACCCTCCACTCGCTCAGTCATGCAAACTCAAGCCAGTGCCTTAGTCTCTCTGATGTGTCCTTTCCGCTCGTCTTGGTTGTTTGTCTGCCACTGCGATCACACACACACACACACACACACACATGCACGCACGCACGCACGCACGCACGCATGCACGCACACACCCTGCCGTAATCAGCTTAAGCGAGGAAGGTTCCGTTTAGCTCACAGTTCAAGGGTAGAGCCCATTGTGGCAGGGAAGTCACAGTGGCAGCAAGAGCAAGAGGCAGTGGGTGGGTCGCGGGGCGTCTGCAACCCGGAAGCAGACCTCCATGAGTGCTTGGCTTGCCTTCAGTCTGGGACTCCAGAGCATGGGACGACGTCACCACATTTAGGACGGCTCCTCCCACTTTGATGAAGCTAATCAAGGCAACCCTTCACAGGCACACCCAGAGACGCCCCCCCACACGGGCCTCGGTCCTGCCAGGTTGGCAGCACAGACCAAGCCACGGCAACTCTAATTTCATGTTATGATTGCGGTGGTTGTGGTTGTTTTGGCCTATGAGTGCGCATGCGCACAGGAGCGGTTGGTTTACTCCGTGAGAAGTGACACGTGTGACTGGCCAGGATTCTGGCTGTTTTCCCTCTCAGGGATCCACACCCTGACTTGGTCACTGTACATCCACGTCTCACCCTTCCTGCGGGCGCCCTCACCTGACTGGATGGTGGTGGCGCCCACCTTTAATCCCAGCTCTCGGGAGGCAGAGGCAGGTGAATCTCTGTGAGTTCGAGGCCAGCCTAGTCTACAGAGCGAGCTCCAGGGCTGGCTTCATAGGTACTGAGAAACCCTGTCTCAAAAAAAAAAAAAAAAAAAAAAAAAAAAAAGGGCTGGAGAGATGGCTCAGAGGTTAAGAGCACTGGCTGCTCTTCCAGAGGTCCTGAGTGCAATTCCAGCAACCACATCTGTAATGAGATCTGGCGCCCTCTTCTGGCCTGCAGGGATACATGCAGACAGAGCACTGTACAATAATAAATAAATAAATCTTTAAAAAGAAAAAAGAAAAGAAAGATATAAAAACAAACAAACAAAGGACAACCTTAGCCCATGGGAGCACTGTCTGTCATCCAGGGAGCAAGTATTTGCAGAGACCCTGTGGGTCCAGGACCAGCATTCGGGAACCGGGGAAGACTTCACCTCTCAGAGTCCCAGTCTGAAGGAATGAGAGACGAGGTCATAGGATCGATGTCTACCAGTAGTCTGTACAGAAGGACAGGAACACAAAGGAGGGAAAGCTGTTCAGAGGAAGGGACCCAGAAATCTAGAAGGTTCCAGAATGTTCCCTGTCTACTACTAAAGCACAGTGCTGTGGAGGCTTGCTCCTTTCTGAAACTAACATTCTTTTCTTTTTCTTCTTCTTTTTTGTTTTTCTGAGGCAGTGTTTCTCTGTGTGATAACCCTGGCTGTCCTGGAATTCACTCTGTGGACCAAGCTGGCCTCTAACAGAGATTCACCTGCCTCTGCCTCTCGAGTAGTGACTAAAAGTGCATGCCAGGCTCTGCTGGGTAGTTTGACTATATTCACTGTCTGTATGCTACCTGCTAGTTATTCCTTTCCCCAGGGGCTTGCTACATACTTAGTAAACTTAACTCGTTCAAAATCGGAAGCATGGCGATCCTAAATCATTCTCAGGATTACACAGAACACCCTACCCCCAAGTGTCCTGGAGGAGGTTCCTGTGCAGGAAGGAAGTCCTCTCATGGGAAGGGACCAGAGACTATATAGGGACCGGAAGAGAAGCCCCGGGACCGGAAGAGAAGCCCCATTAAGAGCTCTGAGTGGCGCCACGGCCAGGGGAGGCCACAGTTTCCCATCTGCCCTTGCACATTCGGCCAGCCAAGGGTACACAGAGAGGCCTAGCTCTAGCGCATCCGGAGCAGGGGTGCGTTTGTGGCCAGGTGCATGGGCACACAGTCTCAGCTGCTGGCTGCAGCCGGGGTGCTTAGAGACCGTGTAAAATCAGGAAGGGCACTGGCCTCTCCCGAGGCTGCCTTCCAGAGAGTCACTCAAGCTAATTTCTTCCCCTTACCGAACCAAGATGACTCTCATAAAAACCACTGTGCTTCCACGGGCTGGATTTGGGATTTGGGTTTTTAGGGAAACCTCTAGAAAGCCGTCTAGAAAAATCATTTGGTGAGGCTGATGAGCTGGTTCCATCAGGACAGAGCTTAGTCTGCAAGCATGAGGACCTGAATTACATCTCCAGAACCCACATAAAAATGCCAGTCATGGCGCTACATGCTTTCAAATCCAACTCTGAGGAGACGGGGACAGGTGAATCCCTGGGGCTTGCTCGCCAGACAGTCTAGATTAACTGATGAGCTCCAGGCCACAGGAGGCCTGGCCTCAAAGGAAGGTAGATAGCATTTCTGAGGGCGACAGTGGATTACACACACACACACACACACACACACACACACACGCCTGCATTGAGAAGGAGGAGGGGCAATGAGATGCCCAATGGGTGATGTGTTTGCTACCAAGACTGATGACCTAAGTTCAATCCCCAAAACCCACATGGGAGGAGAGAATCAACTCACAAAAGTTATGCTTCGACCTCCACACACGTTCTCTGGTACATATGTATCCACAAACGTACATGCAAATAAATAGTGTTTTTAAAGGAAAGGGAAGAAAAATCAAGCGTTCTTCTGGAAGATGCTCCCAGGGCTTTCTCTGCAAAGGGGACACAGAGCTAAACTTTTCTAGCGAAGGGCACTTGGCGCCACCTGGTGGCCTTCATGATTATACCACCTGTGAGATAAGTACAACCCCATCCGCAATCCACCAGGGAGGTCATAGGCAAAGAAAGACCTTGCAAGTTCGCTGGTTCAAATAATACAGCCCAAGCGAATGAAAAGGGGGCACAGACTTCTGTGTCATCTCGTCCTTTGTACATTTATTCTTCAGGCATTCATTCGTCTCTCTGCTTGGTGCTTGGAGCAGGGGATCTCCACTAGGCGAAGGAACGTGACGGTATGGCTGGCTATTGTCTTTATCTTGTGTACTGAGCACAGCGGGACACGGAGGGAGGGAGGGGGCCTCTACGAAGTGTAAGAAATCCTTAGAAAGGTGGAGATGGATGGGATGGGAGCAGGAAGGTGGCAGGTAATATCAAGGTTTAGACTTAAAGGATTAATGGGAGCCATCCACGGGCAAGGAAGGGTCAGCCAGCTAGGCCTGGGCAGGGAGGGAGAGCTTCCTATGAGACCACAGAGGGACCCTTCACTGAGACTGGTAGCCTTCACAGTGAAGCCACCAAGCCACAGAAGGTAACATGTGCCCTTGCAGATGGCCAGGAGGCCCACCTAGCCAGGGCTCTCATCCACAAAAGACCCCAGGATTCATCTGCTCCGAGTGACAGTCGGCAAGGACAGGACAAGTAGGTAGAGGGGAAAGAAGGCCACTTGACTGTGCTTCTTAGGATTGGTGTCCTGTTCCAGGTCACCTGGTTTGTGCTCCGCAACTGTCTTGGGACTAGATGTCTAGATATCACTTTCACTTAAAGAACATATTCTACTCTAAATAAACACATCTGTCATAGGGCTGTGTGTAGCGCAGGGACAGTTCTGGCCCCGAATGTACAAGGCCCCGAGTGTAGTCCAGAGGCCACAAAAATAACAGCTGTAACTTAGCAAACTTTGGCATATCTTTATTTGTTAGTATGTTTAAAAAGAGAGAGAGAGAGAGAGAATAGAAGAAGGGTTTGCCAGAATCTCTCTCAGTCTCCAGAAAGCTCTGGGGAAGGTAGAAATGGAAAGAAGCAAAAATGGAGGAAGATGGGGTTGTTACACTAGCAAGGCCAGAAATGTTGGGGCTTGATGCAGTATGTAAGGGTTTTGTTGTTGTTATTTAGAAGTCCTTTTTAACTATGTGTGCATGCATGTGCATGAGTGAATGTGTGCATGTTTGTGTATATATGTGCCTGTGCATGTGTGTATGTATGTGTGTGTATATATATGGGTGTGGTTGTATGTGTGTGTTTGTGTATATGTGTGTATGTATGTGTGTTTGTGTGCACAGGTGTGAGTGTGTGTGTGTGTGTGTGTGTGTGACAGCATTCTTGTGGAGGCCTGAAGGTAACTTTCTTTTTTTTTTTCTGAGACAGGGTTTCTCTGAATTGTTTTGGAGCCTGTCCTGGAACTCGCTCTGTAGACTAGGCTTGGTCTCGAACTCACAGAGATCCACCTGCCTCTGCCTCTCCAGTGCTGGGATTAAAGGTGTGCGCCCGGCTGAAGATAGCTTTCAAGAGTTGATTCTCTCTTTCCTTCCTGAAGTCCCAGGAGCTGAACTCAAGTCACCAGCCTTTCAGTAAATGTTTTTAGCAGTTGAAAAGTCCTGTTGGTCCCTGTTGTTTTTGTTTCTTTGCTATTTTGGTTTTTTTTTTTTTTGAGATAAGGACTACCTATGTAGCCATAGCTGTCTAGGAACTCGATATATAGAGCAGGTTGGCCTCTGCCTCTACCTACCAAGTGCTGGGATTAAAGGTGTACACTAGTATGCCTAGCCTGGTTTCTGTTTTGATTTTTTTGTTTTGTTTTGTTTTGTTTTTGTTTTTATGAGACAGGGTTTCTCTGTATTGTTTTGGAGGCTGTCGGTCCAGCCTGGCCTCAAACTCACAGAGATCAGCCTGCCTCTGCCTTCCGAGTGCTGGGATTAATTGCGTGGGCCACCACCGCCCGGCGCCTGGTTTCTGTTTTGTTTTGACAGGATCTCATGTGACCAGGCTAGCCTCCAACATACTATGTAGCCAAGGATAACCTTGGATTACTGCTCCTCCTGCCTCCACCTCCTGAGTGCTAGGATTATAGAAATGTGTCACCACAACACCTGGTTTTGTGTGGTGCTGGAGGTCTAACCCAGGCCTTCCTGCACGCCAGGCAAGCACTCTGGCAACTGAAGCAGAATCTGCATGCCCACCCAGGAAAGAGAAAGTGCAGCTAATGTTTCAGATCTGCGAGTGAGGAAGAAAATTGTGTGGAATGTCCCTGTGCCTCTGACAGGAGCAGATCCTGATAGGGCAGGATCTTTTGTTTGAAAAGCCCAAAGTCAACATCCTTGTTGTTGTGGCTCTTGGCAAAGGCCCAGGCCAGAGCAAAGGAGGCAGGTGTATGTGTGTCTGAGAGCTTAGGGGAACTGAGAGCCAAGGGGTGCTGGCCAGGAGGAGCTGTGGAGGAACCACTGTCCTTGGTGCCCCTCCAGAAGAGAGTGTGATGCTTATTTTACTTGGTGCCTTGACAAAAACAACTGGATGAAGGGTTTGTTTTGGCTCGGTTTGAGGGCACAGTCCATGGCGGCGGGGACGGTGGCATCGCGGGAGTGTGGGGTAGCTGGTTGCTCTGCATCCGCAGTCAGGGACATGAGAGAATGGATGCAGTGCTCAGCTCCATTCCTCGAGTTTATCCCAAGCCTGCACATGGAGATGCCCACATCCAGGGCGGATCATCCCCTCTCAACCTACCCAGTGGAGAAACTCCCTCACACGCATGCCCAGAGGTTTGTGTCCTAGTTGATCCTAGATCCTGTCAACTGACAACATTAAGCAGTACACATGGGAAAAGAGTTTCTAAAGAGAAATAATGTGCAAATACAATCTAAAAAAAACTTGTAATCTCAGTGCTAGAGGGGGTAAGGCAGAGAGATCACCAGCTTGGGGCTAGCCTCAGCTTCTTAGCAAGAACCTGTCTCAAAATACTGAAAGGAAGAAGGAGAAGGATAGAGGGAGGAAGTATAAAAATTCCATTATAAACAAAATCTTTATTTAAAAGCATATTTTTCCCCATAAAAAGCCAGGCCAAGGGGCTGGGGAGATGGTTTAGTGGGTAAGAGAATTCCCTGCAAAAACTCAAGGATCTGCGTTTTGCTCCCTAGCACTCTTGTGAAAAGCTGAGCATGGCTGGGTGCACTTTAACACTAGTTATGGGGAAGGGAAGTGGTCAGAGGACAGCAGGACCATGGACAGATAGTGCTGTGTGGCCAGCCAGCATGGGGCTGGGGAAGCTGTGGGCTCCAGGTCCATTGTCGTCATGGTGGGAAGCACAGAGGCACGCAGGCAGACTTGGAGCTGGAGAAGGAGCTGAGAGGTTGCTTCTGGATCCACAGGCAGCAGGAAGAGAGAGACTCTGTGCTCGGAATGGGCTTTTTGAAACCTCAAAGCCCACCCCCAGTGACACACTTCCTCTTTATCTGTTCAAATAGTGCCACTCCCTGGTGACCAAGTATTCGAATCCATGAGCCTCTGGTGGCCATTTTTTATTCAAACCGCCACACTTGGTCAGCAAACTCAGCAACTCCAAAGTTCACACCCTATGTGTCCTCTCTTGATGGGCACTTGGGTGGCTCACCTGGCCCATCAGCGGGCTGGCACAGTGTAGTGGCAAAAGGCCCAGACACACAGCCTTCCTGCCCATCCACAGGCCATTGGCAAGGGGATGTCTCATACATGACAGACTGCTTGCATTCCTGCTTAAGAGACCCAATTCTGGCAACACCTCACAACATTGGCAGTGAAGGAAAACAGGAGTAAATCCCCAGCCCGGGGCCATTGGCAAGTGACTATCAGAGCAGAGGGCTCACATTAAATTATGAACAGAGTGAGACACATTGGCTATTCCACATCAGTGATAGATCTAGTCACTGGTTCTCAACCTGTGGGTCACGACCCCTTTGGGGTTGAACCCTTTCACAGGGGTGGTATATCAGATATCCTGCATAGCAGATATTTACATTATGATTCATAACAGTAGCAAAATACAGTTACAAAGTTGCAACAAATATATTTTTATGACTGAGGGTCATCACAACATGAGGGACTGTATTAAAGGGTCACGGCATTAGAAAGGTTGAGAACCACTGTTCTAGATGCTCCTGGGAGCTGGAAAAATGGCTCAGAGGTTAGGGGCATTGGATGCTCCTCTAAGGATCCTGAGTTCAATTCCCAACACCCACATGGTGGCTCACAACCATCATAGTGGGATTGATGCCCTCTTCTGATATAAAGTCACTCATATATATAAAATAACTAAATAAATCTTTAAAAAAACTAGAATGACCTTCTTAAACAAAGTCCTTGAAGCTAAAAGCTGAAGTATAAAAGAGGTTTTGACTGAAGATACAAAATAAACTCCTCACCCATGAATTGTTTCTCATCTCCTTCTGTGATGGGTAAATTATCAAATTGAGACAATGTAAAAATACCTGGGCAGGGAGGTATTGTCTGGATCAAGGTGGTCTGTGGACATGTCTGGTGGAATTACCTTGACTGCGTTCTTTGAGGTAGGAAGAAATGACCACTGTGGGTGACACCATTCCCTATGCAGGGGATCCTGAAATGTCTATAAGTAGAGAAAATAAGTTGAGTGCATTCACTCTCTGTGTCTGTATTAAACAGCACAGAAAGCATCACATGAGGGAGGACCGGGATCCTCACAGAAATCTTTAACAGAGTGTTACAAGGTATTACATCACTGACTCCACCTGACCCAGACAACAAGCAGTACTATAAACATCATCCAATATCCATAAATGAATATGCACTTTAGAAAATGGCTTTCCATATGCTTCATGACTATTTACGTGGTGCTGGAGACCAAACCTAGGTCCTCCTTGCACATGAGGCAAGCACTCCACCAACTGAGCCACACAGCTCCATGTGTCTCATTTGTGAGGTCCCTGAGGTCAAGCCATGGGCACAGTTGTATGTATAGTAGGCACTCAGGAAATCTGTGCTGAGTGAAAGAACCAGTTCTAGTGGGAAGGAATCATCACTTTTTTTTAAAAATATTTGTTTATTATGTGTACAGCATTCTGCCTGCATGTATCCCTGCAAGCTAGAAGAGGGCACCAGGTCTCATTATAGATGGTTGTGAGCCACCATGTGGTTACTGGGAATTGAACTCAGGACCTCTGAAAGAGCAGCCAGTGCTCTTAACCACTGAGCCATCTCTCCAGCCCGAATCATCACTTTTATACTTAAGAAAACAATAGAAAAAAGCACACCCAGTATCCCAGAGCCACAGGGCTCAGATGCAACAATAGTCAGGATGGACCGGGGTTTGCAGCAATAAGTATGGAGCTGAACTTTGGTGGCTTACTCGGCTGCTTCTCTCCCAGGTCCTGTGTCTCTTACAGCCAAGCTCCCATTCTGTTCCACAGGACATCACAGGCCTCACGGCAGCGGGGAAGGGCACCCACAGCCCAGCCACACACTGGCTCTCAATCAGCTTGGAGGCCTCACACCTGACTTCTACTCAGATTGATGGAAACTGGCAGGATACAAATTATACATTATGAGCAGGAGTGTCAGATGGAGCGGCTCCTGTGAGAAACATTGTAATAATTTCTCTAATGTAAATCACAAGAATTACAACCGGAGCCTGCAATTGTACTCCTGCTATATTCCCTAAGACTTGAAGCTACCTGAACATCAATGCTCAGAGCGGTATTAACAGTGAAAAGCAAAAGGCCCCCAGACGCCTATCAGCAGAGGGATGGGT